GACACTGACCTGGCTTTCGACTAGCATTGGATTGTGGTTTTCGCACTGAAACGGGACTGAAAATTGGCAGGAAGCCACGCTGCCTTAATTTTGGTTGTGGGTCATGCTGGGTTGTTTTTTGTTTCCCCTTTCAGATTTTTTTAGGGCAGCTATGGAGGCAGTTGGGTGATACAGCCCTCAGACCATCAGTCACTGGGACTTGGCCCTCAGCCTGGACAGGATAGCTTTTTCCTGGTCTATATTGACTGAGATTCCAATTTCCTTTTTTGGACTTTATTTAATAAGCAAAATTAAAGGGGGGAAAGTGTGCCTTGTTAATTTTCATTACTATAAAAGAGTATCGCATGTTCCCTAGTAGCTTAGAATATTTTAACAAATATTTGATTAGGGGAGAAAGTCAATGGAACACTTTCAAAGTATTATATTCATACAAAAGGGTGTATTTAATGTAGTTTGAATATCATATTAAAACAAATTCAAAGTGTGGCTTGTGGGTTGGGTTTTTTTAGCAGTCCAGTATTGATGGCTACAATCCTGTATATACTAACCTTTAGGAAGTCTTATTAAGCTTAATGAGGCTTATTCTTGAACAGAAACATATCCATGTACACTGTTCAAAGAGAACTGCTCATAAGTGTGTGCTCCGCCTAGCTTCTTGTACAGAAAGAAATCTCCCAGCTAGCGCTGGGGCAGAAACAGGAAGCCTTAGCAGAACTAGACCTAACTAAGCCTCAGAGTCTTCCAGCTTTAGGCCCTTCTTCCAGGTGAGCCGTATTTATGTGTTTGTAAAGTAACGTGTCCATTAGACAGAACTCCCAGAATTATGGGATCTATAATCCAAGAAATCCAAAAATTCCATCCCTAATGGTAACCTCTTAGCTAGACTACTGCAATGCACTCTATGTGGACTTGTCCTTGAAGATATCATAGGTGCTGAAGCAAGTGGAATAGATGGCAATGAGCTTCCTAACAAGGACTCTTTTTTTACAGAACGTTGGCTTGGGCACGTCGTGAGAATGGCTGATGGTCGGATTCCAAAGGATCTCCTGTATGGAGAATTAGTGCAGGGAAATCGCCCCAGAGGGAGACCACAGCTGCGATACAAGGTCATCTGCAAGCGAGATCTGAAGGTCTTAAGAATGGACCTCAACAGATGGGAAACCTTGAAATCTGAGCATTCAGCCTGGAGGCAGGCACTGCATCACGGCCTCTCCCAATTTGAAGAGACCCTTGCCCAGCAGGCTGAGGCAAAGAGGAACTCACAAAAGCAGCAAAATCAGGGAGCTGGACAGGGGACAGATTGGATTTGTCTTCAGTGTGGAAGGGATTGTCACTCTCGAATTGGCCTCCTCAGCATCACTAGACGCTGCACCAAGTCCTCCATACAGAGCACGGTACCATAGTCTTTCGAGACTGAAGGATGCCTAAACTTGCTCTTTACTTGAAGGCTGAATTGGGGCCATTTTTGATTTCCTTTTGACACTAGGGTTAAATGTAGTTGTTCACTTGTCTTTGGGTTTTCATTTGCACACATTGTGATATTTTTTGTTATGTATGGTTTCAAATGTTTCGAAATAATGTCAATGTTTTTATTTTATGTGCTTGTAGGTTCTCTGAAGGATGCCTAAACTTGCTCTTTACTTGAAGGCTGAATTGGGGCCATTTTTGATTTCCTTTTGACACTAGGGTTAAATGTAGTTGTTCACTTGTCTTTGGGTTTTCATTTGCACACATTGTGATATTTTTTGTTATGTATGGTTTCAAATGTTTCGAAATAATGTCAATGTTTTTATTTTATGTGCTTGTAGGTTCTTTTAAATAATTCTATAAATTTTAACATGTTCAATTGTTTACATTTCTTTTGTCGAGCCATGCCCTCGGAGATAGGACAGGATAAAAACATTCTGAATAAATAAAATAAATGAATATGGCTGCTGATGTTGCAAATTTTGTTGCTAATCAATTGTAATTTCCTGCTTCGTTCATCCTCGAGGGTTGTGCACTAACCTTGGGATTTATAGGCTCGTGTTTAAACTTCAGGCAGAATGGTAATAAGAAAGCGTATCCAGTTGTGGAAAGAAAACAATTACACCAACTTGGCTGGAAGGCTAAATCAAAAATATTAAACCTCATTGATGGGAGGATAAAATATTAGATACACGGCACTTTTTTCTCAACGTTTTTATTTCATTGTACGAGGAAGGGGTGGTGGTGATAGATCTGATTAACGCTTTGCAAATATTAGCAGCCTGCGTCTGTAAACATCAAATGAAAAAACACAGATTTTATTCTTTCAAATAACAATAAAACACATACTTTCTCTCGCCCATATACAGATTCAGCGGCGGTTTGTAATTATATTAGCACTTAGTCTGGAGTTCTTCATACCAGCTTCTGACTCGGTGCTCTGGTGGGATTCAGTGAGTCCAGGGAATGAAATATGCACTCTGGTCAGATCCTGCCCAAAGAATTTGGAAGAATATGTGTGCAATATGTCCGTGTGTAATTGATGTTATAAGTAATTGAGTCAGAACCAACTTAGGGTGAGCCTATAAGGGCTTTTGAGGTAACAGAGATATTTAAGGAGTGGCTTGTTTTATTCATTCATTCATTCATTCATTCATTCATTCATTCATTCCATTTATACCCCGCCTATCTGGTCATTGCGACCACTTTAGGCGGCTTACAACACAAATCTAAAACAGATATATATATATATAAAAGAAAAAATAGTTTACACAATTAGGAGTTCCCAGGAGGTGGTCCAGCTGCTCTTCAGCCCTGGGGCTCAATTTGCATAGCTAAGAAAAGGCACAGCAGCTAACAGACAATGACTCCCCCCCCCGGTGTGGGGTTTTTTTAGGGGCTTCACCTGTTCCTGGAGGTCTGCATGGACTGTCGACCTCAGAACCTCAAGGTGTTCCGGGCTCTTGAGAAGTCCACGCCTAGCAAGGTAAGACAGAGAAGGCTCTGATTGTGATCCCTCCCATCCAAAACGGAAGCCCCCGTTGGTTGCTCTCGACATGCCCGAGGGGTGGGGTGGTCACTAGAAAGAAATCAGAAGAGT